AACAGTGGCGATGTAAGTTAGCATTAGGCAGCATGGTGATGTCACGAGGAGTCATCAGGCAACAGTGACGTCAGGTGGCAGACAATACATGGCTTGGACACCCACATGTGGCTTTGTGATCCACACAGCTTCGAGTGACCTCAAGCACTTGGATATATAGCTCTGGCACAGAACTCACATTGAATTCGCAGAGAAAACAGCAGAGAGGGAGTGAGTAGCGTTGAGTGGTGTAGGAGCAGGTGGTAGTGCGAGATGAGCGTGGGTGGCACATAGTCCACGTGGGGTGCATATGTTGCGGCCAGAATCCTCTGCCTCTCCACCCACACACGCAGAAGATTCTACCATACTGGACGAAAAAATCACCGCAAAACTCGCCTCTGACTTGCTGAAAATAGCAAACTACTTTCATTATGTGCTATATCATATCTTGTACACTTATTTATCCTCTTTCTTAAAATACGTACAGGTCCGCCATCACCAATCCGGCACTCAGACATCTGGTTTCATTAGTTATTCAGCACTAATTTTGGCTAGCATAATTTCAAATTTCCAGGGTCACCACACCAACCTGCTGGTACTGTTTGGTGGCACTACTTACTGCATAAGTCATTCCAATTTCTTTTTCTCCATTTATTGTTATAATCTGCTTACTTTTAGCCCTAATCGTGGTTCCAATGAATAAAAGAAATGCATCTCGTTGTGCAAAGCAGATACACAGTACACTGTCCATAAAAGATAAGGTGGCTTTGAAGCCACTGTCGGTTGCCATGAGCTTAGTCTCATGATGCAGGGGAATATGCTTTATTATTACACTAATATCAACACTACAGCTTATTTGCCTATCACAACTGATCTAATATGACATAATAAATAATATAAATAACTTAAAAACATGTTAAATACTCCAGAATAAATAATATTTGGCATAATACTGAGCTGTTTGACGGAAGTACGAAGACGATATGGGATACAAGTACCACCCTTCTATCCCTGTCATGGGGGCTTATATTAGAGAAATCGGAGTACAGCACAGGGCTGTGATATACACTTGTAATGTACCATAAAATGAACAAAAAAGCTATTTTCTCTACACAGATTATCATACATAGCAGCATATGTGTAGAGAACCTAGGAGAACCCAAAAAAGTCGGACAATGTGGCATTTCTAGTACCTGCCTTGAGCTTGCTATATATGATTTTTGGTAAATATTTTTTTTCTCAGTTGTTTGTTGGGCTATCTTATTGAAACTTGGGCAATGTATGATGGAAAGATGCTTCTTAACATAAACCAAAAATAAAAGAAACTGGACAATAAATAATGGAGTTCACTTCTCAGCCATTAGCCACCCCTCAGTGGTATATTTTTGTATGCTTTTTATGGTTGTATTCTTGTTAAATGTTGATGAAGATAGGGAAGCTGTGATTTCGTGTATAGGGCAAGGAGGAATAACATCTTGTAGGAGTGAGGAAGAGCCAGTTGTGAGTGTGGGGGAAGTTCGTGAGGCAGTAGGTAAAATGAAAGGGGGTAAGGCAGCCGGGATTGATGGGATAAAGATAGAAATGTTAAAAGCAGGTGGGGATATAGTTTTGGAGTGGTTGGTGCAATTATTTAATAAATGTATGGAAGAGGGTAAGGTACCTAGGGATTGGCAGAGAGCATGCATAGTTCCTTTGTATAAAGGCAAAGGGGATAAAAGAGAGTGCAAAAATTATAGGGGGATAAGTCTGTTGAGTGTACCTGGTAAAGTGTATGGTAGAGTTATAATTGAAAGAATTAAGAGTAAGACGGAGAATACGATAGCAGATGAACAAGGAGGCTTTAGGAAAGGTAGGGGGTGTGTGGACCAGGTGTTTACAGTGAAACATATAAGTGAACAGTATTTAGATAAGGCTAAAGAGGTCTTTGTGGCATTTATGGATTTGGAAAAGGCGTATGACAGGGTGGATAGGGGGGCAATGTGGCAGATGTTGCAAGTGTATGGTGTAGGAGGTAGGTTACTGAAAGCAGTGAAGAGTTTTTACGAGGATAGTGAGGCTCAAGTTAGAGTATGTAGGAAAGAGGGAAATTTTTTCCCAGTAAAAGTAGGCCTTAGACAAGGATGTGTGATGTCACCGTGGTTGTTTAATATATTTATAGATGGGGTTGTAAGAGAAGTAAATGCGAGGGTCTTGGCAAGAGGCGTGGAGTTAAAAGATAAAGAATCACACACAAAGTGGGAGTTGTCACAGCTGCTCTTTGCTGATGACACTGTGCTCTTGGGAGATTCTGAAGAGAAGCTGCAGAGATTGGTGGATGAATTTGGTAGGGTGTGCAAAAGAAGAAAATTAAAGGTGAATACAGGAAAGAGTAAGGTTATGAGGATAACAAAAAGATTAGGTGATGAAAGATTGAATATCAGATTGGAGGGAGAGAGTATGGAGGAGGTGAACGTATTCAGATATTTGGGAGTGGACGTGTCAGCGGATGGGTCTATGAAAGATGAGGTGAATCATAGAATTGATGAGGGAAAAAGAGTGAGTGGTGCACTTAGGAGTCTGTGGAGACAAAGAACTTTGTCCTTGGAGGCAAAGAGGGGAATGTATGAGAGTATAGTTTTACCAACGCTCTTATATGGGTGTGAAGCGTGGGTGATGAATGTTGCAGCGAGAGAAGGCTGGAGGCAGGGGAGATGTCATGTCTGAGGGCAATGTGTGGTGTGAATATAATGCAGAGAATTCATAGTTTGGAAGTTAGGAGGAGGTGCGGGATTACCAAAACTGTTGTCCAGAGGGCTGAGGAAGGGTTGTTGAGGTGGTTCGGACATGTAGAGAGAATGGAGCGAAACAGAATGACTTCAAGAGTGTATCAGTCTGTAGTGGAAGGAAGGCGGGGTAGGGGTCGGCCTAGGAAGGGTTGGAGGGAGGGGTAAAGGAGGTTTTGTGTGCGAGGGGCTTGGACTTCCAGCAGGCATGCGTGAGCGTGTTTGATAGGAGTGAATGGAGACAAATGGTTTTTAATACTTGACGTGCTGTTGGAGTGTGAGCAAAGTAACATTTATGAAGGGATTCAGGGAAACCGGCAGGCCGGACTCGAGTCCTGGAGATGGGAAGTACAGTGCCTGCACTCTGAAGGAGGGGTGTTAATGTTGCAGTTTAAAAACTGTAGTGTAAAGCACCCTTCTGGCAAGACAGTGATGGAGTGAATGATGGTGAAAGTTTTTTCTTTTTCGGGCCACCCTGCCTTGGTGGGAATCGGCCAGTGTGATAATAATAAATAAATAATTCTTGTTTTTTTTGGTCTCATTTGATATAATGGAAGATATATTACAGAAATACAGTGGACCCCCGCTTAACGATCACCTCCAAATGCGACCAATTATGTAAGTGTATTTATGTAAGTGCGTTTGTACGTGTATGTTTGGGGGTCTGAAATGGACTAATCTACTTCACAATATTCCTTATGGGAAAAAATTCGGTCAGTATTGGCACCTGAACATACTACTGGAATGAAAAAAGTTCGTTAACCGGGGGTCCACTGTATATATGATTTTGATTGCTTTCACAATGAAAAGTACCTTGAAATTGAGCTCAAAGTAAGCGGAAATGTTTGATTTTTGCCAATGTTCAATGAACTTTCTTGTGTAAGTCAAGTTGGTTAACTTCATTAACCACTCTGTAATACGTCAAACTCAATAATATGGCACACCACAGGTCCCAATGATGCCAGATTTGTGATGGCGGACCTGTATTACTTATTACCAAGCCTCTTTCTATATACAGTTCAATTAAAGGCCCCCCATTTTCATATTCCCCTGGCACCCCAAACTTACCTACTACTCCCTCCACAACAGTTTTACCCACTTTATCATTTATGTTCCCCACCACAAGAACTCTTTCCCTTAGTTCAAAACTCCCCTTACACTCACTCAACATGTCCCAAAATCTCACTCACTCAATCGATCTATCAATCAACATCTCTCTCTCTCTCTCCAGGTGCATAAACACTTACTATAACTAACTTTTCATATCACACCCTTATTTTACTCCACATAATCCTTGAATTCATACATTTATATTGCGTATTTTTCTGTCATAACTGATCTTTCAACATTATTGCTACTCTTTCCTTAGCTCTAACTCTAATCCCAATTATTTCTCCCCACTGAAACTCTCCTACCCCCTTCAGCTTTATTTCACTTAAAACCAGGACATACAGCTCATTTCATTCATAACATCCACAATCATCTCTTTCTTATCATCTGCACTACATCCCTGCACATTTAAACATCCCAACTTTAAGGTTTTGTTCTTTTTATTTTTAATAAGCTGTACGAGAAAAGGGGTTGCTAGCGCATCACTCCCAGCATTTTAGTTGACTTTTACAACATGCATGGCTTATGGAGGAAAAATTCTTATTACATGTCCTCATGAATATAAAAGGAAAACAATAAGAACAAGATCCATTAAGGAAAACTAAACTCAGATGAGTGTGTATACATAAATATGTACAATGTACATGCACATGTAGTGTGACCTAATTTTAAGTAAAAGTAGCAAGATATACCTGTTATTTGTGTGTTTATGAGACAGAAAAAAAAGACATGAGCACTCCTACCATCATGTAAAATAAATACAGGTTTCTATCTTATATTCATTTGGCATGACAATAGTACTTCCCTGGTTGGCTGCCATCTACTAAACTACAGTAATTAATTTAACCCTTAAACTGTCCAAACAGACCTAAATTCACATGCGTAGTGCTCCAAAAGTAGATCTATGTTTTTTTTTACATATTTTCAAATATAAAAAAAAATGTAGATCAAAGTTTTTTTTTACACATTTTCCAATTTAAAAAAAAAAAAAGAAGGTCTACATTTTTTTACATACTTTCAAATGTTGAAAAAACGTAGATCTACGTTTGGATAGTTTAAGGGTTAATATGGTTTGTTCACAGCACTTAGAACTACTTACATCAAGCTAAGTTTTTAGGTTTGCCATCAATACAAGTAGCAACAGCTTACCTGGCCCTATCTAATTTGACACACTTCAGGGATCCATCTGCTTTAACTGTGGCAGCTCGAGGTCGGTCTAATAGTAGGGCAATCTCACCTGAAAAAATAATTTGATGTTAGGGTTGCTAAAAGATCAGGATTTTTATGTGCAAGGAAAATAAAACACACTGTAGATTCACTGATGACGTGCTTATACAGGTTGAAACTAACTCCTAGTACAACATATATTATAAAAGAACTATTTACATAACATGCTCCTTCCTTTGAGTTCAAAACACAATAAAAATAAAGCAAACCTTTGATTTAGCAGACTTCAGAAATACAAGACAAAATCTACTGGGTCAAATGATTCAGAAACAATGAACAAAATCCACTGGTTACAGACCTATTTGCTACTATTATGAACAGGGCAAAACAATCTCATCTCTGTTCATCACAATTGCCATTACCAGCGTCTGTTTCTCATTACTATTCTGTTAAATTAAGGGTTTACTGTACAGTACTTTGTTGGTAGGGAGAGAGGAACATTTACCTGGCATAAAAATAATAAAGAACCAAAGATGGCAAAGTTGTCGTCTTCAACAAACCGGCTGTATCCCACCAAGGCAGGGTGGCCCAAAAAGAAAAACAAGTTTCTCTTTTGAACTTTGGTAATGTATATAGGAGAAGGGGTTACTAGCCCCTTGCTCCCGGCATTTTAGTCAACTTTTACGACATGCCTGGCTTATGGAGGAAGAATTTTGTTCCACTTCCCCATGGAGATGAGAGGAAATAAACAAGAACAAGAACTAGTAAGAAAATAGAAGAAAACCCAGAGGGTTTTGTATATATATATATATATATATATATAAACTTGTACATGCATGTGTAGTGTGATCTGAGTGTAAGTAGAAGTAGCAAGATGTACCTGAAATCTTTCCTGTTTACGAGACAGAAAAGACACCAGCAATCCTACCGTCATGTAAAAAAATTACAGGCTTTTGTTTTACGCTCATTTGGCAGGACAGCAGTGCCTCCCTTGGCAGCTGCTGTCTACCAGCCTACTACCTAGGAAGATAGCAAAGTATCTTGACAAAATACTCCTAAGCAGCAACAACCTTGACATATTTTATGTCACATAACTAAAGTGTAATGAACACTTATCAATGCTTAATAATAACCAACATGGAGACAGGAAATTATTTGATCTGTATATTGTGACCCTTTTCTGGGATCCTCTTCACCTGGTGATGATTCCAGAAGGGGACTGAAATCATCTTCTTTCAACAAACCAGCCATATCCCACCGAGGCAGGGTGGCCCAAAAAGAAAAACAAAAGCTTCTCTTTTTAAATTTAGTAATTTATACAGGAGAAGGGGTTACTAGCCCCTTTGCTCCCGGCACTTTAGTCGCGTGTTGCAACACGCATGGCTTACAGAGGAAGAATTCTGTTCCACTTCCCCATGGGGATAAGAGGAAATAAACAAGAACAAGAACTAGAAAGAAAATAGCAGAAAACCCAGAGGGGTGTGTGTATATATATGCTTGTACATGTATGTGTAGTGTGACCTAAGTGTAAGTAGAAGTAGCAAGACGTACCTGAAACCTTGCATGTTTATGAGACAGAAAAATCTTGCATGTTTATGAGACAGAAAAAAGGACACCAGCAATCATACCATCATGTAAAACAATTAAAGGCTTTCATTTTACACTCACTTGGCAGGACAGTAGTACCTCCCTGAGCGGTTGCTGTCTACCAAACTACTACCTAAAGGGACTGAAATATACAGATCAATTAACCTCCTGAGTGTCAGTCTCCATGTGGGTTGTTATTGACCATATTTTATGGTGTTAAAGAGAGTTCTTCAAGAAGCAGCAATAACAGATTGGGTAAAGTTCATCAGGAAACAGGACAAGTCCTGATGTGGGTCTTCGTCAGATGGTGACCCACCATTGGAGCTTTTCGTTATCTGAGAGAGGCCTTCTGCTGGCTTACTGGTCCACCCCTTTAAAAATCATGGTCATAGTTATAATCGTATAGTATTAGCAATAACAGTCATGGATTAGTGATGAAAATAACTTGGTAGGCAATCACAGCTGTATAACAATTACAATCCTCGCATCACAGCATAAAATGTTGAGTCATAAGAACTTTAGCTTGCTCTTTTACTGCACAATGGGTGAATTCACTGATCTCACAAACTGTGGCCTGAATGAAACACACTGAAGATGACTCAAAAAGTGTAGGAACCACTATGATCTCGTACTTTTTTTTTTTTTTGCACCCACAGACAAAAACTCTTTCCATACACTTCTCAACACTCCTACTGCCTTCTTCCCCTAATATATTATGATTCACCTCATCTTTCATAGACTCTTGACTAATTTACTCCAAAACATCTGAATGTATTCATGCCCTCTGGACTACTACTACTACTATCCTCTGATTTCACTGCCTAAATTACTACTTACTGTACTCTCATTACCAATCAGTTTTATGTGCTCAGTTTCAGCTTCTGTCTTTTACATACACTCATAAATTCTTCTACCACCCTCTTTAGGTTTTCTTCTGAAGCTCCCAAAAACACATTCATCAGCAAAGAGTAAGTGAGACAACTGATACTTTATACCAGATTCAATATTTTTTAAGCTCACACCTCTCCACACAGTCATTCACAGCCCATTATTTAACCCGTAAACGGTCCAAACGTATATATACGTTTTTTAAACATTTGAAAGTATGTAAAAAGAAGTAGATCTTCTTTTTGTTTTTTTTACATTTGAAAATGTGTAAAAAACTTTGATCTACTTTTTTTTGTTATATTTGAAAATACGTAAAAAAACGTAGATCTACTTTTGTAGCACTACACATGTGAACGTAGATCTGCTTGGACCATTTACAGGTTAAACACACTAAGATACCATAATGGAACAGGGATGCTAGAAAGTGTTATTTTCAGTCTTAGGGTGATACGTGGAATGCACTATACAGAAGTGGCAGAGCCAAATTCTAGACACGGCTTCAAGAGTAAATATGATCAGTGCCTGAAGACCAGAAATCAATAAAACTGGTTGATAAAGAGTTAAAAGGCAGGGCCAGGAGCTATGAGTTGACCCATACAAACAACTATGAAAATACATACCTGCTTAAGGCTCACTTATACTGGAAATTAACTCTCTCTCTCTCTCTCTCTCTCCCACAAAGTGGGTCAAAGAGCTATACAGTAGGGCCCCACTTATTTGGCAGGTTAGGTTCCAGGCTACTGCCGGAAAGCAGACTTCACCGGAAAGCAGAACTCAATTTTTTCCATTAATAAATGCATATAAATGCCAGATAATTAGGTAGTACGTTGGTAAACAGCAACCGCTCAGGGAGGTACTACCGTCCTGCCAAGCAAGTGTAAAATGAAAACCTGTAATTGTTTTACATGATAGTAAGATTGCTGGTGTCCTTTTTTCCGTCTCATAAACATGCAAGATTTCAGGTACGTTTTGCTTCTTCTACTTACACTTAGGTCACACTACACATACATGTACAAGCATATATATACACACCCCTCTGGGTTTTCTTCTATTTTCTTTCTAGTTCTTGTTCATTTCCTCTTATCTCCATGGGGAAGTAGGACAGAATTCTTCCTCCGTAAGCCATGCGTGTTGTAAGAGGCGACTAAAATGCCGGGAGCAAGGGCCTAGTAACCCTTCTCCTGTATAAATTACTAAATTTAGAAAGAGAAACTTTTGTTTTTCTTTTTGGGCCACCCTGCCTTGGTGGGATATGGCCAGTTTGCTGAAAAAAAAAATCGTAAACAAAAGCGTTGTGTGTTTAGGGGAGTGACGTAATGTTCTCCCTCTGCCTGGCTACCATATCTCCTTAGCCCTTTCAGGGTCCGTGCTGTAGATCTACGGCTTTACGTTCAAGAGTCCAAACCGTAGAGCTACACCAATATTCAAGCGCTGTCAAATTGAGCGCTAAAAGGCTGGTAGGCCTACGTGTGAGAGAACGGGTCTGCATGGTGTGTGCATGCTGTAAACAAAAATTCTAGGCGCCCGTGTAGCATTGTGGGAACGCCGGCTCAGTTACCTTTGTTCACCATGCCTCGTCTCAAGGCAGCTCTCTCCAAGGAAAATTGAGACACTCCTCTTCCTATCTGATAGTTCTGACTCTGATGGAAGTGGAAATGAAGACGAATTCTATGGCTCTGATCAGTTAGTGGCCGAAAGGAATGACCAGGATATCGATAATAGTGCAGAAAACCTTGACGATCCTCAACCTTCTACCTCTGGTGTGGGCATGCCTCAGTCACATTCAGTTGTACCTCGTCGCAAAAGAAAATTATTATTTTCGCATGGCGAAGCCTCTGACTTCAGTAATGATGATAGTGACGTGGACTGTGATTTTATTGCTCTCGACGATCATTCGAGTAGTGATAGTGAGGAAACATTCACCAATGAAGCGTGGGTATATACTCTGCCGCATGTGCTTGGATAGTGTTCCCTATGCAGTGCCCAGGGGACGGAGTACATCCCGTGGCCCTACACCAGAAACAGACAGTGAAAGTGAGGATGATGTGGCTACACTTGGCATGGATAGACAACAGGCATCAGTAGGTGGTGGCAGTGGTGGTGGTAGTGGTGGTGGCAGTGGTGATAGCAGTGCCACAGCCATGCATGACTCACCAGCCCAGGCTGGGACCCACGCTACTGACTCCTCAGTTCAAGGACAAAGCGGAGCGTCAGCCACCAGCCCACCACAACCACAACTGCCAACACAACCGGCTTATGATGTCCAGTATCCACCAGCAAACCGTATGTGGGATTGGCAGCAAAATCCCAATTTTGTTCCCAAGCCCCACCTGTTTGATGACTCTTAAAGTGGAATTCTACCTACTTGTCCCCTTGGAAACACTGCAAATGAACTGAAATTCTTTGAACTATTCTTTGACCAGCCCTTCATGGAAACTATTGTCAGGGAAAGTAACAAGTATTTTGAGTACACCATGGCAAATGCGATCATATCACCACAATCAAGACTACACCGGTGGAAAGAGACAACTGTTGCAGAAATGTATTTGCTTCTTGCAACAATAATGCTTATGCCTTATGTCTATAAGCATAATA